AGGCAGCTCTGTCCGGGGGGACACACACATACACACACATACATCCATGTAACATCCAGCAACAACCGCCAAACCGGCCTAAATAATAACCGTACCCAGCCAGCCAGGGGCAACCAGAATTAAAAAAAAAATAAAAAAAGATAAAAAGGAGGAAAAAAAAGACCAAAACACCAAAGCCTACCATTATTCTTTTTCAATTATTATTGTTTGGCTTATTTTTGCTGGCTTGGTTTTTGTTGTTGTTGGCTTTTTGCAACCTTTCTATTTTGTATTTTTTTTTTACCCCTTCTTGCGAGAAACTCTTCTCGGAGTTCCCAGGGTTTTTTTCTTTCTTTTTTTTTTTTTCTTTGCAGAAGCAGAACCAGTGTTTTGTTGTGTTTTTTTTTCTTTTTTTTTTTTTTAAATAGAGAGGGTTGGGATTTTTTTTTTAATTAGGATTTCTGCCGGCTTGGGACTCGGAGGGAGTGAAACCTCGTCACTTTTTGTAGTGGTGGTGTGCCTTGTTGTGTGTGTTTCCTTCGTCCCCTCTGTCCTTTTTTTCTCTCCGCTCCTCTCTTCCCCCCTCACTCGCACAACAGCCCCCGGTAAATGAGAGGAGACAGGTCCTCTTTGCCTTTTTTTTTTTTCCCCCTTCCCCTCCCCGGACCGCAAAGGCGAGATTAAAAGTGGCATTTTAGTGCCTTTTCCTGCGATTTTTTCTCGACACTTTTTTTTTTTTTTCTTTTTCTTAAATCTCCAGTAGCGATCTTTGGGGCTGAGGTTTCCGCAGAAAGTTTGGGGGCTGTTACGGTGTGTATTTTTGCGGAGGGGGAGGGGAGAGGACTCTTTCTGTGTGTGCTGCTCCTCTGGGTGCCTATTGGAGAATAATAGTGTAAGTGACAACCTAGAAGTAGACTTTCTGCTCTTCACACTGGATAGAAAAGCCGGTTTTTTTTTTTTTCTTGCCTTTTTTTTTTTTTTTTTAAATAACCCCCCTTCTCACTTGCTCCTGTACGCGTTGATTTCATTTTTGAAAGGATAGCTAGACTTAAGTCACCCTCCACCTCAATTTAAACCTGCTACTTTATTTTATGATGATGATGATGATGAATTCCTCGGTTTGAGCGTTACACTTGTCTGATCAATTTGATCTTCAGCTCCTTCTTCCGTTGCTAAACCTCGAAAACTGGCTTTCTCAAAAGATATTTAATCTGTATTTTTTGTCCATTGCCATTTTTGCTCATGGCTACTCTCTTTCTCGCTATCTATTTTTGCCCCTCTCCACCTAGAGGAAAATAGCAACAAGAAAAAAAAAAAAAAGGGAGGGAAAAAAAAAAAAAGAGAATATTAGGGGAAGTAGTCCTCAGGTCTGCTGCCCCCCCCCTCTCCCCCCTCCAAAACGGGGGGGACCTAGAAAACATCAGTCTTGAACTTCTTCCTCTTCAAGAGCTCGGGCTGCAAAGGAAACCTCCTTTGTTTTTGTTATTTATATGCTGTCAAGTTTTGAAGTGGTGAGTTTCGGGTCGGTTTTGCTAATTTCACTCAGAAAACTGCAGTGTTTCTGTTTCTAGATAAGTACTTTGCTTCTTTGTCTCTTTAAAAGGTCACAGGGAAAGCTTGGCCTGGATTGTGAGAGCCATATGGAACGGATAAGTGCGGAGCCTCTCTCAAATGTGATTATGGGTTTTTATGGGGGAGGGAGGGGAGAGGAGGGGAAAGGCACGGGGAGGGGGCTGATTCAGGAGGAGAGGAAGAAATAGGATAATACCGGCGGCGTTACATCGCGACAAAAGGAGACGCCGTGCCGGCTCCCATTCAGAAATCGCACGGTGTGCCTGTACGTGTCCGCTGGCTCTGGGAAACTGTGCCTTGAAATTGTGCTCTGCTCTCAGTGCCTGTGATGAAAACTTGTAGTTGTGAGAGGTGCCTAAATCCAGGGGAACTTTTGGCCTGGAACCGGCGGAGATGATGGTTCTTCCCTGCAACCCTCTCTCCGGGCAGGCCACGCTGGTTGTTGCTCATCACTATTCCAAACTGAGGTTTCAGTGAACTTTAGCCTTGGGCATGGAGTTTAATTGAGTAAATTAGGTGTTTTATGTGCATGTAATTTTGCTTTGTAACATAAAGCTTTTTACAAGATGACTAGGCGATGAAAGGGTGCCGATGGGTGGGAACTCTCAGGCCAAGCGAAAATGACCAATTTGGTATTTTGGATGTAGTCAGTGTATTAACTAAACTGAGATGTATCACTTCTAGTCACTGTACGTGATGTAGTGCGATTCTGACTCATGATGACTAGATAGTTTTTGTAGTGAAGAACCTCCGTGCCTTAGAGTACTTCTGAAGTTGCCAAAAGTGACAAGGATTTTCTTGTTCGATGGTTTTTTGCTTTGTTTTACTCTTGTCCCCCTCTTCCCCCCCTCCCCCCCCCTTTTTTTTTTTTTTTTTTTTTTTTTTTTTTTTTTTTTTTTTTTTTTTTTTTTTTTTTTTTTTTTTTTTGTTAATCCTCTTATTCTGGAGAGAGAACAGACTCAGAAAAGCAGCACTATATGTTAGCACAGTCAGAAACAGCGGAAGACGTTAACGGTTTGCGTCTGTAATTCTTTGCTTCGGCTGCAGTTAACACAGAGGAAAAAAAAATCTTTTTGAAAAGTGGCTAAAATATGCACGTTTACTGTTAATAAGGCTCAAGACCTAAACCGGATGGGATCAAGATGAATGGTAAACCTTAGCCTGTCACCTTGCAGAATAAGGAAAAATAACGTTTTTCTGAACTTTAGTTATTCAGTAGCACTCTTCAGGCTGCTTGTAAACGTTCAGTTTAATGTATTGCCTCTGTCTTCCTACCGGGAAAAGCAGCGTGGTGTTCAAACAAGAGAAATATAGTTTACAGAACGATCGTTAACATATATGGGAACAACAGAGAAGTATATAAACAAATCCCAAGATGTTTAGGCTTTAAAAGCTTTGCTACGAAATGTGCAGAAAATGTATTGAATTACTAGGCAACTGAAAGAAAGTACCAATTATCAGATTCACACCAGTCTTTATAAATATGACTTTCCCAGTACTAGGTTTTGTACTTGCTAATGTAAATACTAGTTCATAAATATACGTCTAGTCACCTGTCCTTATTGATATAATATATACATAACATACATGTCTGTGTAGTTACACCTTTCTCAGTCAGAGAAAGGTAGGGTAAAATACCAAACAGTCACAACAGTATTGGTGAATGAAATCATAACCAGAAAGATGTCTCTGTTCTCAGCAACTAATTTTGTTTGTTTGCTTTAAATATAGTTGGCAAAGCAGATTTTGATGAGTGACAAAAATCCTCAAAACTTAGTTCATTATGTTCTAGGCTTGCGAGATTTTTAGTGATTTAACTGGGATTGCTATTCATGGTTAAAAAGTTTATAAGAAGTGAAATATAAGCATGCTAATATATACCTTGTCTTAATTTGCTATTGAAATTACTTCAGGGTTTCTTTTTTTGTTTCAGATAAGCTGTGCCAGCACGTAACTTAGCACCACTCAGTTTTGGGGTTTTTAAAAATTACTTTAGGGCTTCAAAATACTGTAGGAATTATGGTTGTGGGTTTGTGTTTTTGTTTTGTTTTTCCTTCCCCGGCATTATGTTTTGTAAGATGTTACCTTCTCAGTTATTTTTCTTAATGCAATAAATGATTCCTTTTAACACTAAACTTAACATGTGGAAAATTCATATGCATATTTTGAACTTCACAGAAGTTGATAAACTCTTGGAATAATATTGGTTAGGAAACAGAAGCAGCCATCTACCACCACTGCTTTCCAAAGTTAAAAGTTAAATTCTCTTCTAACTTTTATTTTTAAGGCAAGGGAAGGAATAGTAAATGGACAATATTCTGCGTCTCTAATAAATCTGTTGCTCCCTCAACTAAAGTTTTAACAATCTCTCTATTGTGGTGTGTCCATTTTTTTTTTTTAATCAAGTAGATTAAAAAAAAATGTTTCACTAGAATCTTTTTCTTTCTCTGTCCCTTTCTCTCAAGACAATAAAAACACCCTGGGATTAATAACAAATCTTTCTGTGAGATTTGTGACAATAGCTGTGTTGGAGCACATACTTTGACAGTCATCATCACTTACATGGGTATTAGTCTCTCTCAGATTTAGTTGACTATCTCTGAAATTCTTTTTTTTTTTTTTTAAAAGATATAATCTAGTTGGCTTTAAAAAAATGATTCCACCATATTATGCTGCGATCTCTTTGTAAACTGGAGTATGAAGAAGTAATTTTTTGGAGAATAAGTTTGTTTCTTTGAAAAAAGGCATCTTCTTTCCAGTTAAAATAGTTGTTTATTCTTCTTTATGAGCTCATGATGCATCTCTCTCTCTCTCTCTCTCTGTACATGTGCAGGCTGTGTACGTATACATATGCGCACACGTGTACAACATATATATTTTTTTTTTTTTTGAATCATGGCAGGTGATCTTTAGAGGCGGGACTGAGTATGGATCATTTGAACGAGGCAACTCAGGGGAAAGAACATTCAGAAATGTCTAACAATGTAAGCGATCCGAAGGGTCCACCAGCCAAAATTGCGCGCTTGGAACAGAATGGGAGCCCGTTAGGAAGAGGAAGACTTGGAAGTACAGGAACTAAAATGCAAGGAGTGCCTTTAAAACACTCTGGACACCTGATGAAAACCAATATTAGAAAAGGTAACACTTTTGATAATTCTGCATTGGAGCAATATGATTTATAATCTTTGGGGGGAGAAGCATACTTTTGCAGACTCTACTTCATTTATATTTCAAGATTAAATCTCCATTCTAAAACGCTATATATTCCCAACCCTGATATAAATCACATTTGGGAAATGTAAGCTTCATGCTTGGGTGGAGCATCTTGCTTTACAGGGTGGAGTCTGATTTTTGTTAAGGTAAAGGCTAGCTGTCCTGATTAAAGCTAATTCCTACACTGAAATCGAAATAATATGATGCATTAATTCTTTGAGTAGATGTTACGCTAAGAAATGCGAAAATCTGTAAGAGTAAATGCTGAACCCCAAAACCAAATTCTCACCTTTCCTCGTAATGGTGGTCCAAGCTTGGAAGGGCAGCACTATTAACATAACAGTTGCAAGTTGGTTTCAAGGCGAGAGTGTAAATCTTTAGGTATCACATTGGAGAAGTCATTTATGATGTCAATCTTCGCAGTTTATTTTCTTAAGTACAATTCATTATTGAACAATGAACAACTTGGGTGTCATATTTTTCAGTGGCTGGTTTGCTGTAATTAGACATTTACACAAGGAAAAGGCACATTTAGAATCATTGGTGTTTGTACATGGATGGCTTTTGTTTGCCTTGAAAATACTTTTTAATGGACAATAATCTGTAGATTTTGCTTATCAAAATGTGTCTTTTTTTTTTGACCATGTCCTGCCGACTTGCTAGTTTAAATCCAAGTATGCTGCCCATAATTTGGCATTTGTTTTAAAGCATCCTCTACTTTTCTTATTATAATTGGTGTATGTTTATAATCCAGATTTTTCTTTCACTTGATAAGCAAAGTGCAAAATGCAACCAAGACTATTAAATGCACGAAGTTAGAAGGCAGAGGAATTTCATTGTGCCTGATGCATAACATTTATCGTACAATCATTTATTTTTTCCTCGGTTTGGCGAAAACAAAGAATATATTGATCCTGAAATGAACAGACACAGCAGTCCGTATTGTTAGATCTTTATCTATTAAAAATGGAAAAACAGCACTTCAGCAAATTCTTTGGCCTCTGCTCATGATTACCCTATTTATTGATTGTTTGCCAAGAATGTATGCATCTTAAGAAAGCCAGGGTAAGAGCATTAAAAATATAATTTATTACGGCTTTTCAAGCAGAGTGCATTAATATTGTACTGTGAAGCAGTGGGGCTATATAAAAAGGACTTTCTGACGCCTGCAAACATATAAGTTCCATAAATTCCTAAATAGGAGATTTCAGCTGTCTCTGGTATTATGTGATATTTGCACAGCAAACTTTAATGCCAGGACAGTTTTAGACAAGGATTCTACAGACTTCACTGCTCCTTATGGCAGACGTGCTGTTTACACAGACTCGTAAACCTTCAGCAAAAGCTCTAACACTGCCTTCAGGTTTAAATCATGCTGTATTTTTAGCAGCAAGCACTGACCAATGCTCTCCCCTTTAATACTGGAAGGTTATAAGTTGCTGCACTTGGAGGTCTTGCCAAGTACTAGCAGGACTGATCAGCCAGCTGAGATTGTGCTCTCCTGTACAACACTTTTCACATTAACAGAAGGACACTAGTGACAGTTTGCTAAAAGATTTAGTGGCTTGATTTGTAGTGAGATGGATCCTGGTAGTGCGACACAGGTATCACCTCTGGTAATCTACCCTGTACATCAAAACCTGGCCCGGAGGTTCTCCTGTGGTGTTTAAGGCACCGCATTTTCCAGAATGCCGCGACTCAGGAGACCACAAACCTGGCAAAAAGTGCGCTGTTACACAGCGAAGTTTTTGTCTGATCATAGCCTCATTTGCAGGAACTGATAAGGTGGAGAACAAATAGGCTTTAGCTGGTTTGGAGTGTGTCGGCACTGTTTGTTGAGATGCTTTGTTTACATTTTATCTTCAGGTATTAATGGTGAAACTACTTATGAATTTTGAGCCCTTACTCTGAGTCAGACAGTAGTAGCTCAAACATCAATTGTGAGAGCCTGGAAGGGGGAAAAAACCAAACACCACCTTTTTGCAGATGAAGCGTGTGTGTGTTTTAGAAAGCTCTCCTCAGCTTAATTAAAACTGGCGAAGAAATCACCAATTTGCATGTACTGCTTTTGCTTTGGTCTTCTCTTCCTTCCTGACCAGTCTCACTTAGATTTATTAAAATAAAAAAAAAAAGGGGGGGGGGGGGGGAAGCTGCTTCTTCCTGCACTACATAAATATTGGCAGGCTTTTAGTCCTGTCTTTCATGCTGAGCCTATTGGGCAAACTGGAGTGAGTTTGTGAGCTTTTCCAAGCGAGGCTGAAGGGGTTTGTTTGCCAGAGATTGACTCTCTGGTGAGCAGATGTAGTTTAAATATACGTGCTTTAGAGGTATCTTTTTTATTATGATTTCTTGCTGTACATTACAGTACAAATCAACAGACAAGGTCTTAAAGCATTTATCTGTTGTCAAGAGTGAATCTTCTTTTTAGACTGCGGCGTGTCTGGTGCACCTTAGCAGGTTAGGAGGTTTCCGTAAGTCTAGAGGGCAGTGATTATTATAGAGGCATTAACATTGTAGGACTAATTGGAGTTCCTGGGTGCCCTGTTAAAATAACCCTTGTCATCATTTATGCTAAAGACGATACCCCTCTGGCAGGCTGCCATAAGACAGTTCTGTACATCTGCTTTTAACCCTTTTGCTTTCTGTCATTAAGAGATCCTAACCTGTGCTGCTGGAGACAGCAGGACAGCGCCTACAGCTGTGGGTCTGAGGTCATCTTGTCATCCCTGGCCCCCTGGCAGGCCAGGAGGGGTTCTCACAAAGTCTAGGCATTTGATTGCTGGGAGAGACTTTGTTCCTGAAACAGCTTGGGTCATTTGTGACTTTTCTGTCTGTTGTCAAAAGGGAGGAATTTTCTTTTTTTTTTTTTTTTTTTTTAAGGCAAAAGGAAAGGAAAAAGGTTGTTTTCTTAATAGTCTGTGCAGAGTAGGGAAGGGTTTGTCATATGAGGCTACAAGACTGGAAATTAGTAATTACTTTCAGGCATGCCAAAATAGCAATAAATACTAGAAATGTGGAATGTAAAGTGCAGGATGCAACAACAACAACAACACAAAACCCAACCCTGAGCTGCAGGTACACTTCTTAAAATGGAATTGAAAGCATGATTTGTTCCTTAAAGCTGCGAGTGAAAGTAGTTGCTCAAGTGCACTCAGTGAATGAAGCACGAATTAGTGTTAACTTTTGCCTTGTTTACTTGTGTAGTCTTTTCAGAGCAAATGTATAACGCACAAGGTGATTTGTTGTTGTTGTTGAGGGCAATTAAATATTTTTGGCAGGACTAAGAAAGTTTTAACGCTAACGAACAAAATTATGTAGCTGGTACTAAAATGGCTTACAGCGAAGACATCTGCAGTATGTATTTAGGTTCTCATGCTGCCTGCTACTCACAACAAATCAGGCAGGACAGAGAGAATCAACTTCTCTTCAGTCAACCTTATTTTTTCTATAGAAGGTAATTCATTAATCTGTAACCGATCAAGCGAGATAAATTTGCATTTCTGCTTTTCAGGAGATGTATGTTTTGTAGAACTTTCTCTTTTTTGGGGGAGGGTGAGAGGAAGGGATTCAGGAAATATGTTTATCAAATATTTGTGATGATTCTTGATGCCTCCTCTGCCTGTTTGTACAGGTTTTATTTACATAATGCTGTATAGACCCACCTACCCTACTCTAACTCCAGTTTAATGCATTAATTTTTATTTTTTTTTAATAGGAAGTATGCTTCCAGTTTTCTGTGTAGTGGAACATTATGAAAATGCCATCGAATATGATTCTAAGGAGGAGCATGCAGAATTTGTGTTGGTGAGAAAGGATATGCTTTTCAACCAACTGATTGAAATGGCATTGCTGTCACTTGGATATTCTCACAGCTCTGCTGCCCAAGCAAAAGGTAAATAAGATTATGAAATTGTATGATGAATTATGTTTGTGGGGTCTTTGGGGAGGGGTAGGGTGTCTTTCAGGAATGCTCTGTAGATTTTACTACTTAAACTTCTTACAGATTCTGTCTCTGTCTTGTTTTGTTTTTTTTCCTGTTAATGTATTTTTGTTTAGTTAGTGCATGTTTTGTTCATGGGGAGCATGGAGGTAGGTTCTTTTTTTTTTTTTTTTCCTTTTTAAAGAAAAAAAAAGACTTCAACTGAATCATTAGTATGCTTATTGACCTTAATAATCTGCTCCACTGAGGATCCACAAGGAAGTGTAAAGCATATTTGAGCAGATGGACTGTTGAGAGTCAACTTGCATTTATGACTGAATATCCAGCTCTGTTTCTTTTATTTTGTTCCTGATGGTTTTATAGACTGCAAAGTTGCTTGGGGTATTTTTTGTTGCTGTTGTTTTTCTTTTTTTCTCAGTCCTTGTGTGGCAAAATCCTTTCTAATGTATTAATAGGAATGCTAAGAATTATATCGTGTCCTACTGAATTAATGGGAACTTAGGAAAATACACTTCTATACACATTAAAAAAAATCTCTGTTGTAATGCATTAATGCTGTAAAGCATATCCTTGGCGGTGTGGGGTTTTTTGGGAGGTTGTCCTTTTATTTTGCCATAATTAAGAGCCTGGAAACAAAGGTGGTGATCTTGTTAAAATCAGATTTCTTTTGTCCCTAGGAATTAACAGGTAATTTTTTTTTTTAATTTTATTTTTCAATTTTTCCTACCCTTCTTACCCACTCCTCTCCCCCCTCCCCCCCAAAAAAATAAAAACCCCACAGGGCTTATCCAGGTTGGGAAGTGGAATCCAGTTCCACTTTCCTATGTGACAGATGCCCCTGATGCTACAGTAGCAGACATGCTGCAAGATGTGTATCATGTGGTCACACTGAAAATCCAGTTACACAGGTAAGTTGCCTACCAATTCTGGGCATGAACTGTTACTTGTCTGCTCTTACTGCTAATATTGCTTGTGTTTACTTCCTACTGTGCTGTGTGCTCGACATACAAAGGCTTATCTAAATTCCTTTTTAGTTACTCTAATTCTGCCTTAACTTGGAGCATACTATTGCAGAAAACTTTTATAGCTCTGATACATAGATATTCTTTGGATACCTCATTAAAACTATATTGCATTTTAGTCAATTAAATGATGCATTACAAGAAGGCATTTTACATAAAGTTTACTTAAGAGAAAAATATTTTTGCATATCATGAACAATGCCATCTGTGTGCATTTTGTAAAAGAATGACTCGCTCGCTCTCATTGTTGCTGCCTAGGTCCTTAAATTCCTCAGTAACGAAAGAGGGAAGAGCGATTAATGTATTAATGTTTTTCGTGATCAGTGGTGAGAAAGCATTACACCTTAAATTGTTTTACCAAGCGCATCAGAGCAGGAAGGTAGAAGTAACATGAAAAAATAGTCGCCACATGCAGCTGATGTATAATTCATGCATCAATACAGCAGATGTGTTGTATAAAGTAATTAACTAATCGGAACAATCAGGAGACCGAGAGCAATCTCCAGATGCATCTGCTTGATGCGCGAAATGAAATCTGTCTGTCTTAAAGGAATGTTCTGCAGCAGGATGCAATCTTGTAATAATCCCTTTTCTAATCTGTGTTTCAAATAGTTGCCCTAAACTAGAAGACTTGCCTCCTGAACAATGGTCTCACACAACAGTAAGAAATGCTCTGAAGGACTTACTGAAGGATATGAACCAGAGTTCATTGGCCAAGGAATGTCCCCTTTCGCAGGTACTTAGCATAACATGTAATAAATAATAAAGCACTATAGGCAACACTGATGTGAGATTTGAGATTTCTACAGGCTGCAGCAAGTAGTACCCATGGAGTGAATCTGCCAAAAATGCAAATTCATTTGACCACTTCATGATCTTTATAAATATGCCTGATTCATTTTGAACGTAGTCTTAAAACATTTCCCATGAGGAGTCGCAAGAGGTTGTTTACACCACACTAAAATAGTCTCGCAACAAGCTGGATTTTAACTGGGTTTTGTCTTCAGTCTTTGAACTGCTTTGATGCAACTACTTTTTTCAAGCACATGTGTTCAAGATGTTAAAAGGCTCTTTACTTACTGCTGTCAAAAGTACTATTGAATCTGAATGCTTGTTAGATAACCTACAGTAGTTTTAAATGCTAATTCATAAAATGAGACAGTCTTTGGCATGCTATATGAGAAGGGAATAAAGAATAAAGCTGTTTGGATGATGTGTTGTTGCAAACAACCAAAGGAAAATCAGTTATTTATTAGTTCTAATCAAAATATACCTAAACAGAAATGAAATCTCAGTTTATGCCTTGCCAAATACTGAACTGATGCTTTCCTCAAGCCTTAGTTGTGGTGTTATTTGCTTTTCTCTTCTTGCCATTCTTTTGTCATATTACTGTGAAGGCACAACTTATTTTCCTGTTCAGTACGGTGTCCAATGGAGCTGTGGTGGCAACATCAAGATTTATTTTTACCTTTAAATCTTAGAATGTATTTTGTTCTGATGCAGCGGAGACAAATTCTGTATATGGTTAAGTGATTCTAGTTGTGGTTAGGAGGGGAAAAAGGAAATTAAGGAAGTCAAGGTATTTTTATGGGGATTTTATTTCTCTTGCTCAGAATATTGGAGTCTTTGTCTCCAAAAGACTTCAGTTAATCTATAGAGGAGTACTCTCTTTCTCTGTCTGTCTTTCTGGCGGATGTATTAGCAGGCTGTTTTCCCATCACTTTTTTCCCCCTATGGTTAGTTTTTTTTCAGTAATGTGGCTCCAATATAGGAAGTTTTGAAGTGGAAATAATCAAAATTATCTTCAATGGTTGCAAACTGTTCCAGTGATACGTTTGCAAAGTTATCTTGTATTTACCTACTATAAAAGCATGTGAGCATTTGCACTGCTGGCTTATGGAGACTGCAGATAATTTGGAATTTTTCTCCTTTTTTATCTAACAGTGCTAGTTTTTACTTGATACTGAAGCAAGTAAATTCTGCTGAGATTGAATGTTTGATTTGTATTTGGACAGTGTGTTTCACATAGCAGCTTCTGTATATATGTAGATAATGCAAAGATAAAGCAGAAAAAAGTTTTTAAAAGGAATACTTTTATACTGAGAGACTGTCATGGTACTGGAGACAATTCAATAATTACACTCTTAAAAAGTTGTTTTTAAACTAAAGTGAGTCTTTAGGTAACAATTTTAATGTACAAAAAAATTTCTCCTCATAACAGCTCTTAAAGTTAACACTTAAGATGACCAAACCCCCAGATTACAACACTCTGATTTGGGGCTGTCTGCTTACTGTTTTGCACGTCTTTATTTGTAAAAGAGTATTCTTAAAGCCCTGAGCTGCTTTCTGTAGATAAAAGCACACTTATTACTTCTGTCCCCTCTATCTTCACCAGCGCTGCAGTAGTTGGATTGCAAGAATTTAGATAGATAGGTTCTGCTTTTCTCTTTTTAATTTAAAGACCAAATCACATTAAACTTAAAAAAAATATTTATTTTTTCCTAACTTTTGTAAAAACAAGATGTTACAGCAGTTGATCAAGAGCCCATCAGTCAGTCTAAATCTTCCCGTTTCCCTCTGGGAGCTTGAGGGAGGGCGTGTTCATTTGACAGTGTCCTTTTCACACGACTGAACTGATCTGAAAGCTTCCCGTATTTACCTAGCTAATAACTCCTCCTATATTGCTCGTATAGAAAGGACACTGATTCAAGGGTGTCTGTTTTATTAAAACATTTTAAAGATTGTGAATTGCCCCACAGCGGCATGCTGCTGCAGCAGAGGTGAGAAGGAAGAGCAAGGCAGAGGTCAGGAGGCGATGTTTCCTTAGAAGGTCCAGCCAAATGCCAGCATGGGAGATTCTCCTGAGAGCAGAGCAGTAGTCTCTCCTGTTGTGTACTTCCACAGGCATAGGTAATGCCATATGAAGTGCTTCATCACAAATGCAAACTGATGCAGTGACACTGTACCATAACTTATTAACACTGTTATGGATATAATTTATTAACCACAGAAGAATGACTCAAAGTGGAAACGAGAGTAGTTGTCGTTTTCTGACACTGTCATTACTAGTGGCATTAGTACTCGTATTTTGTGTGGGTACGGGAGGATTTGTTGTCAAGTATTTAAGTTGCTGTGCTCAATGTGTGGCATCTCTGAAGCCCTAGCTAAGCGTGGAAACATGAGAATCTCCCTCCTCACTTAAGATTTACTGGATTTTCTTTAATATTTCATCTGTGTATTAAAAAATTGCTCATATTTATTCAGAGTACTGATATTCTATGTAACAAAAAACAGAGCAAATTATTTTTATAGTGCAGGTATATTTAATCGCTTGAATATATGAGCAAACAAACTTTTAGATCCCATTTGTCTTAATTACAGAATTATGAAAACTTAACAGCATCATCTATTTTCGTGGGTTTTCATCCTTTTTTGTTTGTTTGGTTTTGGTGGTGTTTTTTTCTTTTTTTTTTTTCTTTCTGTTTTGTCCAAGTAAAACTCTGGGGCGTACAGGTATGCTTTCCTCAGTAAGTTATCACAGTAACTCTTAGTGTCATTAGGAGGGTTGAATGCATGGTCTCATTTGAAGCTACTGTGATTGTCTTGCCCTGTGAGTGCTGTGCCACCCTGAAAGGTTAGGTTTATCACTCAGTATCTGAACCCACATCACGGGGAGTCCTCACTGACATCACTTTGAGGGCTTGGAAGGGCCAGAGCAAATGCATGGCTCTCAACTGACATGGAATTGCAAACATCTGTCCAGAGGTTTAGTCTCAAATTTTTGCTATCAAGCAGACAAAAGTAAGAGGATGCCACAAATTTCCCACAGAAAAGCCAGGCTGGTTCTGAGTTAAGTGCTGCAGTGGGTTTTCATGCTTTACCTTGGGTTTGCAGATTTTATTGCTAGAGCCTAGCAGCATATGCAGATACTGAGTGAAAGACTTTTCACATTTGATGTGCACGGCTTGCTTCATTTCTACTTCCTCTCCAGACCTCTTTTGATGGGGAAGGCAACTTGAATTTAATCTAGAGCTCAGTTTTGGGCAATCTTGCACATTCCATTAAAGTGGTGCATCTCGTGAGTGGCCTAGATCTCATTTCCCTCCTGTTTTGGCTCTTCAGTCTCCAAAGGGTTGTAAAGAAATTGTTCTACCATCAATTCTTATTTTCAGCCCCTCTCAAAGAAGCTCTACTCTACCTCAGTCTGTTGGGAGCTGCTCTAAAGTGATCTGCCAGAGAGGCAGGCCTGTTGCATTTATTTATTTAATGTTAGTCCTTCCATCTCTCTACTCAGCCTTAATCTTCGCGTTTTCCTACTTCACTTACAGAGTTTTGCCCTGCTTGGGTTTTTAGTCTCTTATTGCTCACATAGTTAAAAATACTGAAATACTACAGACTGTATTTATAATGATATTAATAAGGTGAGGTTTTTTTGGTTTGTCCCTCTTGGAGTACTTACTTGCTTTCTCCCTTCTCCCGTCCCCCACCTACCCCAGATAAGCTTTTAGGAGGGAGAGGAGAGCAAAATGGGCTATTGGCCGGAGCAAAGGCTGAAAATCCTTTTGATAACTCTGGAACAAATGTGTTGTGTGCTTTTGAACATTTAGATGTACCCCTTATCTTGGGTTCCTGTAACCTTTTCCATGAAAGGAAGATAACAAGTCACCTACCAAATGAAGAGATTGTAGAGATTAATTAGTATCTGGGCACTGCTTTGAAAATATGGCAGCGATCAAATGACATTGACTTTTCTACTGGTATTATCTCACCTGATTTTTCTTTTTTTTTCCCCTACAAAAAGATTTTCTAAATGATTGTTGTTAGTATTCACAAACAGACACTTTTATCAAAGCACTGCAAGAGTACTTCTGAGGCAAGGTATTATTTCTCTTCCCCCATAATATCCTGAAATGTGAAGGGTTTGTTTTTTTTATTCAGTTTTTTTTTCCCCTTTGCTCATCCTTTGAAGCTGCTTGTATCTAGCCTGACTCTCAGGACCACCGATAGTCAGTACATTATAGATGAGAAATTCCAGGCACAATGTATAGTAGAATCTCAAATCTCTTAGTTTATTACTTGTAAAAATATTTTGTAGGGGGCATACAATATTTTCATGCAATATATGCAGAGGTTATGATACTTCTGGACATAGTAACTTACAGACATTGCATCAATATATTAAATTTGTGTGGCCCCCCATACCCACAATATATTTTACATAATTTTGCCCTTGATCAGGAAGGAATGGCATTTTGTCAGTTAGGGGGAGAGACACTTGCATTCCATGAAACATGTGCACATACAGAACAAGTGCTGATACGACACCAGAGTCTGAGTAGTTTTGCACTCGTGATGACTGTAGGTATCCTGGCCGGATTTTGATCAAACTTCTGTGCTGTTGTGCATGCTATTGTCTGCATCTGGCATGGACACAGTATAGGTCATATACTTTCCTTTTTGTTCAGATATCCTGCCATGAATTTACATGCTGCTTTACACATACATGGTGCAGAATTTATATGATCTGGCAGAGACGCCAGACAGAAGGCTTGCTCAGAACCTCAGTGTTTCTCAGTTCACCTGATCTGAATTCACCTGGCCATCACAGCAGTAAGCGGCATACTACAAGTCCTCTCACATTTCCTTGTTGATGTTCTGACCCCCCCTATTCCTCTAAATTCCCAACCACAAAAAGTTGCATTTGTTAAAATTAAAATTTCCAATAGCCAAGGAATA